TTTAATTTTTTTAAATTTTCTGTCCCTCCCCCAATTTCTTCTCCTTAATTAATCTATAACTCGTTTCAATCACGCTTCCTTCCGACCAGTAGCCGAAACGCATCCACGGTTCCCATTCGTACTTGGAACTCTGCATGAGACGCAAGATGTTTTCAGAGCTGACATGATCGGACGACCAAAGCATACGTATTTCCTACCCTCAGAACAGGAAGACTACGACATCGCATACATCATTCACGACGTAGGCAGTAGTAAACCTTTTCTTTTTTTTATTTATTTACTTATTTATTTTTGGCTTTCTGCAGGTTCCCAGTATATCCGAATGAGCCACATTCTGTGTCCAGTCAGCGGAAATCTCCATCCGGAGCGGCGTAAACAACGAACTTAAAAAAGAAGAAGTGGTTCGGCCCTGTGTTTTGTCACCCTGTGACGCACGTATGTAATCTATCCCTGTACCGTATTGTTATCTGTGCACCGGGGATCCGAGTGTCGGTACAGAGTATACTTGGGTGTTTTCTCCTCACGATCATCAAAGCACGCGACACATGGATGATATTGGGGTATACTACATTCAACACTAAGTTACAAATTAAGAATACAAGTAATGTAGGGTATCAAGCTACGAAGGCCTACTCCGAGGGCATATCTCCGTTCCTTCTCGAACCCGGCTCCGTCAAGGGGAAGTAGCGAGGCCCGTCGGATGCTCCGGCCCATCGCCGCCAATGCCACCACGGCATGTCGCTCATCTGTTTAGGCTCGTCGATGGAATCGTCCAATGGCTCTAATGATCGGCGCTCTTTCACCGCGTAGTTATCAGGTCGTCGCAGTCGGCACTTTCGAACCACCATGTAAACCCCGATCGCGGCCACACCAACCGCCAAGATAGGGACAAACCATCCGCGCTCTGGGAACATCTCCGTGGTTAGTTTCCAGATCTTTAAATTGCCATTCTGGAGTAAGGAAAGCTCACCGTATGCAGTCTTCAAAGTATCCTTGGCATCATCCAGCGGTTGTGACCCGGGCTCTGAAGACTCACCCCAGTCGTAATGGGCTTCCGGGTTCTCTGGGTCAACCCACGGCACAGTAACAAGGCCCAGCGGAGGGATGAATGCACCGGCTCCCTCTTCGCCAGGAAGCCCATACGCCGGAGCATTCTCGCACATATTGTCCGCGCAGTACTGTTGCAGTTCCCCGGAAGGTGTAAAAGTAAACATATGCCGCGACTTGCCCAACACCTTGCCCTCGAGATCTACAGCCTCCGCGTACGTCCATGGGTAGTAGTGCGGAAACGTATAACTCGTCTCGAAGCCCTTCTTCGTCACTTGGTTTAACAATGCATACGGACCTGTCATGTTCATGGCACCGTAGAACCGCCAATACCTCACTCGTGTTGCACCGTTCCAACTTACGTACAAGGTCAATGAGGAGAAGGGCTCGGTCGATCGAGAATATGTCCACAGAGCAGGCACGTCCGTCGGCATCCCGTCCCACTGGAACTTTTGAGCGCGATAGTTCATGATTTTGTCCTTATCAATGTATCCCCACAGCACCAGGTTGCCGTTCTGGTCGTGTTCGGAGACGTACGCATTGTTCCCCCATCCCATGAACACATGGTGATTAGGCAGGACCTGCATGTTGCCCTGACTCGAGCTAAGCATGTCCATATTCAAAGGGGCATAATCGCGCACCTGAGTGGCCGTCTTAGCCACATGGTCGATCAAAATGATCATACCGGAGGAATATTCGTGTGTTTGGTTGAACCCATTGTAGCCGTTGTTATACAAGGACAGTAAGGTGTGAGTACCGTTTTCGTTCAGGAATCGTGCATCGTGCTGCTGAGAGAAACTAAAGTTGATATTTGTGAAGGACGGGTTGGCGCCATGTAACTGCCAGATCACCGTCCCATTCTGGCCGGAGATTTTGTAGATCGCGCACGTGTGTCGCGACGAGATCAGGTAATCACCGTCCTCGTTTTTATCGACGGAATTGATGTGGAAATAATCCCACGGGGAGCGCGGGTCCAGCCCGGTTCCCGACGTATCAGTGTGGCCAGGATAGGTGTAGCTAGCTGTAGGATCAACATGGTCAAGCGACTTCCACTCAAACAGCACCTCGTTCGTTTCCACATCCACTTCCTGGAAAACACTCTCCATCAACCACCCCATCCCAGTCTTGACATTCCATAAGCTCATATCGAACTGTCGCTGTTGATATACGGTCAACAGTGCAGTTTTGCCGTCGTTAATGGGTAGAAACTCGTGCATATCGCTCGACGCCATTCCACCCCCAGGGAGGACCGTCTTCACGGTACGATATTGATTGTCCATGATGACGCCATGGCCCCGGCAATATCCATTCTGTTGAACACCTTGGAAGAAGCAAAGATGATCTTCCCCTTTGTATTTGCACACATGCATGCCGTGCGCGTTGCCGGGACCGGAACTTCCCCAGCCGCTCCATACTAGATTCTGCGACGGTGTCAGTGAGAGCAGCTCGATGGACCGGGTGATATGACTTACGCCGTCATTATCATAAATATAAGGACCTGAGTTAGCCGCCTCATACGGCCCAACAAAAATATATCCTGGAGTAACTTTGTCGGGGCTGCTGCGTTCTATAGTGAGGACGGGGGGATATAGATCAGGTCTCTAGAATGCGACCGAACGAATTAGCTAATTCTAAGGATAGCCCCATGAAGCCCTTCATGCACAAGCTGTATTTCTGTTAACTTACCGATCGAAATACTGAATCGATTTCTGCGACGACCCCCGGCAGACAGCATAGCAACCAGACCAAAAGAGAGCCCATTATGCGGACGGAAGACCAAGGCGCAGACCCACCAGGCATGATGTCAGTAACAACCAGCATCGAACCTTCGCGTTACCATTGCATCCCTGGGCACTGGGAAGAAAGAAGCCGAGCAAAATAGGAGGTCCAGGCGCAGTAGGAACTGTTATGGACGAGGGGCACAAGATCCCATGAAATCTCGTAGTCGCGGATGGATATGGAAGGGGGTGTTGCATGAAGAGAGGATCCGCCGGATCGTAACTCAAAAAGCTGACCCAGTCAGGAGTGTTTCCAATTGGCATCCACTTTGCCCAAGTGGACCTGGACCTTCGGGTTCATGCGATTCATTGTTCTTTGGGCCAGGCGTGAAGCATGCGCCAGCTTTAATTGGTGAGTGGCCAGCAGTTGGCTCACATACCCATTCGACAGGTGCAGTCCCGAGTCCCGACTCTGCCAGTCCGTGCGTCTATGTTAGTTGCTCCTTTGTGGATGTTATATTGGCATCGTTTCGTCCATTGCGCGCAGTCTCTTTAGTGGCCCCCGAAGTTGGTCATGGCATGGTGTTCCGACCCTCATCATACAAACAAAGAGTCGGTTTCTATCTCCGGATACTTCAATCAATCCGAAAGGTTTTCAACCAGGGTTCCCAACGCCTAGATCTTCGCCTTCATAGAATGAACTCATCCCGGACTATCGGTAGATGCTGACGAGGTCGGTAATTAGTCCATCCCACTGACTGCAGCTCTTCTGCGTCCCTCAAGCAAGTCAACGTCATCCATTTGGTGTCTCATAACGCACGCAGAGAATAGTGGCCTCTTAGTCTCCCTCAGGTGCAAACTCAAACTGGGGTTTGTCACCGCGTGAGAGAGAGAAAAGGATAAAATCAGATAATAGCCGGTGCAAAGAATACGTAGTCCTCTACGTAAGGTCCGGTCGTAGGTCAAGGTGGCTGATATGTCGAAGCCCATCCTAAGCCAGATCAGTGCTAGAACATGTTAGTACGGAGGAAATACACTGCCGTGCAGTCGGTAATAGATTACTCCCTGTACGAACCCGTTCCAGTAATCCCCACCGCGAAACAGTTTTTTTTCTTCTAAACGCCGACACTAGGCCCTTATCAGCTAGTCCAACCGTAAAACCTAGTTTGAAGTAATGCCGAGGAACAACGAACAAATGAAATTCGAATGCACTCCCCTTGACTGTGGCTTTCTCCCTACGCGCCGCGGGCTTGACTCTTGAGCAGGAGCTCCAGCGCCACGTCACGGCCAGACCTGGGGAGTGGGGTGGAGTATCCACTGGCAAGGTCTGGCTGTGGCATCGCTTCGGTGGCATACAAGTTACGCACAACATACAGGTTCCAGGGGTCACGCAACTTACATCTATAATTATCCATGTTGCCAAAAATGATGGTTTCCAGGAGACGAAGATGTACAGTTATGCTGGTTTTGGGTTGTGATCTGTATCAAAACTGCCTTGTAGTCCGCCATCCATCCATCCATCCAGAGTCGATAACACACTAGTCTATACGATAACATGTAACAGACGGTCGGACAAGTTCTTGGATTATGAGATGGGTCGTTTCCCCCTGAGAGTCCTAGCCAAGGTCCGACAATTATCGATGCGCTTTGGACACAATCCATCGGTTTGTTTCTCCACAGGGAGGTATCGCACTGGGCACCCTGGTCTTTGCAGCTTGTCGCTGCATATGTAGTTCACCATGTGCTCTCACAAAGCACGCGCTATGGCTATGTTTAGAAAAACAACTAGACAACCCCTGTTACTATGTATAACACAAGAATTGGCGAAATCGACTTCTCCTGGTGACATTCCGCCGCCACATTTGTTCGGTGTCAATGCCGGCTGCCAAGCCCGCTGTTTAATAGGAGGTCGGTTCGAGAAACGAATACAACCAATTGTAGTATCTTTGACCATAACGTTGATCCACTTCCAATACCCTAAGCCGCTTCTATCCTGGCCAAGCAACCGGCTCCAAAGCCACTGGATCTTGGCCACCCACTAGACCCCTCCGTCTCTTTTTTTGTAGCAGGGAGCGAGCGTCGAAACATCCCGCGGTCATTGTCTGGCCTTGTAGGGCGCTTCAGCCCTTTCAACTGCGCCAAGACGGCTCCTTCCTTCGGTTTACACAAAGTTTGTGAAAGATGTTGTGCGACATCCCTTCCCGTGCCTGGTGGCATATCGCAGAGGATGCCAAGATGCGAGAGACCCCTCGGCGCCAGGCAACAACAATGGCCATAGGGGTCCTTGCGGCAGGGGACCCCCTGAGGCCAAGCGCCAAGAGATATTTCCTCCCAAGTACTCCGTACCAAGGGACAAGGATCGAGGAGCAAAACCGACACGGTGGTCAATGAAATCATGTGGTTGGATATTATATGTACTAAGAAAAGACAAAGACGCTAGCCAAGAAAATTATACAGGGACCATATTTTCAAACAAGAAAAGCCATGAGTTGCGCCCAGCGCACACCATAACACCCAAGAAAGAAACAAAGAAGAAAATACGTTCACCGACAGAAGCGCTTGAAAGCCATAGTAGCGGCCAATCCGGTTGCCAGGAGGGCTCCACCCATCGTGACAGCTTGCAGGGCAGCATTCATCATCTGGTGCCTGTTGCGGGTACGGCAACGCTTGAAGAAGTCGGCCATATCATTTCCACGGGGGAATGGAGTGTCGGGGACGTCTTCTCCCAGGAATTCACACAGAGGGCCCCAGCCATCGCTAATCTTGTACTCCAACAGACGCTCAGGTGGAACCAGGCTGCGGACTTCGTCAACATGATCCTGGTACACCTGCTTGCCCTTGTTGGGGAAGTCCCCGCGGAAGAAGGTCTCGAAGAACTTGTTCAACATAGGGTAGTACATGCTGGCAGCCCAGCTGAAGTTCGAAACGAAGCTG